GGGGGGGGCAGTGACTGACACCCCAGAAAAAGCACCTTTTGGAAGCGAGACTGGAAGTTTGGGGGGAAATGTTCTTTTTGACTTTTGATACCTTTGTTACGGCAGGATGCTTCACCTTGGGTGTGTGGGTACCTTCCCTTTTCCGGTGCTTGCTTGAGGGCCAGCTGAGAAGCTGTCTCCTGTGGGATGGCTCAGGGGCTTCTGGCGGCATCTGGCTGTGGAGCCAGAGGTGGGAGTTCAGTTTCCCCCTCTGGGCCTCCTTGATGGGCTGGACTGGATGATCCAGAGGGTTCCTTTCCAGCGCTTCCACTTTTAAGATTATATAAACGAATAAAAACAAAGCAGCCCAACTACTGCAGTTGAGAAGGTTTGCTTAATGTGGCATGCCTTGTAAACCCATCTGACTCTTAGGTGGCCTGGTTTGTGTGGAACACTGACATGTAGTTTAATTTTGCATGTCATGCATGAGCTGGAAGGGTTCTTCATACTGTACCCATTTCCCCTTCCCTCCAAAACTGAAAAAAAATCCAGTAGCATTTGCTTTCAGTTTCTGGAGTTTTGGCTCATTCTTGCAAAAGATTTGCCTGGCTTAGACCGGCTGCCTGGTTTAAAAAGGTTCCCTTTCTCTTTCCAAAACAGGCTATAGTTTGGTTTAAACTGTCAGGGCCAGTTTGCTTTCTGCTACACGCTGGGATTCAGGCAAGTCATGAGTCATTGCTTACTCAGAATTATTCCAATTTGTGCACGTAGCACTGAGCCGTGGTTTATCAATGCGCACAAACATGGCTGTTATCTGAAGTATCCCTGCTATTGATTTCTGTTGGGCTTGTTGCCTGGCTGTTTGTGTCATCTGAACAGTGGCGATATGTGGTGAAGAAGCTGCCTAGCATAAAGTTATATTTAATTTAAAACACACACCACTCTTTCTGTACACAAGTGGTTCTTGTAAGTGCAGTGGCTACTGACTGGACACAGCCTCTCATCATGTCGGAAGCTTACGCTCTGTGTAAGTGTGTGTACGTTCTAGCCTTCCTAGCATTACGATCACACGCAGTTACCAGAGTGCTGATTGTGATACTGATCACTCCCTGGTGTGTAGTAGAATAAAATTGCAAACAAAGAGACTGTATCACACAAAAAAGGAAGGAAGGCCACGTATTGACTTCAACAAGACTTGTGATCAAAGAAAAGTGGAGAAGTTTGCCCAAGCGCTTGAGGAAACCCTTCCAGGTCCGGCTGAGGCAAATGCACCTGAATGTTGGGAACATTTCAAGAATGCTGTCTGTAACACCGCCTTGTCCACATTTGGCAAGAAGACCAAAAAGACAGCCGAGTGGTTCAAAGCCCATTCGGAGGAGTTGATGCCAGCCATCGAGGATAAGAGGCTCTAGCAGCATACAAAGCCTGTCCTAGCGAGTACAACTTGCAGGCTCTTTGAGCTGTTCGTAGCCAAGTCCAACAGGCTGCCAGGAGATGTTCCAATGATTATTGGCTTCAGCTCTGCTCTCAGATACAGTTAGCAGCAGACACAGGTAACATTAAGGGAATGTATGACGGTATCAAGCAGGCCTTAGGTCCAATACAGAAGAAATCTGCTCCCTTGAAGTCTGCTACAGGCGTGCTCATCCAGGACCGAGCACAGCAGATGGAATGCTGGGTACAGCACTACTCTGAGCTCTATTCCAGAGAGAATGTAGTAACCGAAGAAGCATTAAATAACATTGAGTGCCTCCCTGTCCTGGAATAATTGGACAGCGAACCAACCTTAGCAGAAATAAAAGGCACCTGGAAAGGATAACATCCCTGTTGAAGTGCTGTAAATAGACCATCACCACCGAACTGTATGAAATCTTTCATCTTTGCTGGAGCGAAGGTGGAGTACCACAGGACATGAAGGATGCAAATATTGTCACATTGTACAAGAACAAAGGAGACAGGGGTGACTGCAATAACTACCGTGGCATCTCTCTTCTTAGCGTTGTAGGGAATCTGCTTGCCCATGTTGTGCTAAAGAGGCTCCAGGTGCTTGCAGACAGAGTCTATCCAGAATCACAGTGTGGATTTCGAGCAAATAGATCCACTACTGACATGGTATTCTCCCTCCGACAGTTACAGGAGAAATGCAGGGAGCAACAACAGCCACTCCTTGTGGCCTTTGTAGATCTCACAAAGGCCTTTGACTTGGTTAGCAGGGACGGACTCTTTAAAATATTTCCCAAGATTGGATGCCCACCTCGTCTTCTTAACATCATCAGATCCTTCCATGAGGGAATGAAAGGCACTGCAGTTTTTGATGGCTCAACATCACATCTGTCTGCATCCGAAGCAGAGTAAAACAAGGCTGTGTCCTTGCTTCGACCCTGTTTGGGATCTTTTTTGCTGTCATGCTGAAGCACGCCTTTGGAACTGCAACAGAAAGCATCTATCTCCAGACTAGATCAGATGGAAAGCTCTTTAATCTCTTTAGACTGAGAGCAAAGACCAAAGTCCAACTGAAATGCATGTGGGACTTCCTCTTCGCTGATGATGCAGCCATTGTTGCCCACTCTGCTGAAGACCTCCAACAACTCATGAATCGTTTCAGCAAGGCTTGCCAAGACTTTGGACTAACAATCAGCCTGAAGAAAACACAAGTCATGGGCCAGGGCGTGGACTCACCACCCTCTATTACCATCTCCATGCAAGAATTGGAGGTTGTCCATGAATTTGTGTACCTTGGCTCAACGATCTCTGACACTCTCTCCCTAGATGTCGAACTGGATAAACGCATTGGCAAAGCAGTTACCATGTTATCAAGACTCACAAAAAGAGTATGGCTTAATAAGAAGCTGATGGCATACACCTAGAGCCTGTGTCCTGAGCACACTCCTGTACTGTAGTGAGTCCTGGACCCCTCATGCACGGCAGGAGAGAAAGCTGAACAGGTTCCATATGCGTTGTCTCCAACGCATTTTTGGTATCACCTGGCAGGACAATGTTCCAAATAGAGTAGTCCTAGAACGAGCTGGAATTTTTAGCATATATACATTACTGAAGCAGCGACGTCTACGTTGGCTTGGGCACGTCGTGAGAATGGCTGATGGTCGGATTCCAAAGGATCTCCTGTATGGAGAATTAGTGCAAGGAAATCGCCCCATCTTGAGCAAGTCCCATTCTCTTCAGTAGGTTGTACTCCTGATTATAGGTGCACACAGTATGGTTGTAGCCGTAAGACTGGTAATGGCTCAGTGTGGAAGGTTAGGTTTAATGAATTTCAAAGTATTGAATTGCAGTGAGATGCAGCTTTCTGTTCTGTGTTCTGTGTTTTGCACAGCTCTGAACCCTGAGGGGAGCCTTCATAGCTGAAATTCTGCACTGCTTCACCTGCAGAATAGAAATGATCAGGGTGGAGTTGATTTAAATCAGATTGATTGAAGTCACAATTAAAATCATGATTTAAATTTAAACATTGGATTTTTTTAAAAAGATCATATAAAAACATTTTTTAAAATTTGATTTTAAAAATTACTGATTTTTATCCACCCTGCTGATCATGTTAGCAGCAGCTAAGCACCACTGATTAAAGTTTTCTTTTGTGATTTTAGGGTGCGCAGGGCTTGTAGCGAACTCATGTACATCCCCAGGAAGCCTTTATTCAGTGGCAGTCAGCCGATGCAGGTGATGGCATTGGTGTTCCACAGGTGGATGCTGCCCAGCAATATTTTGGCCAGTATCTCATCCATGATTCTGTGATGTCTGTAAATAATAATGGACTAAGTTGTTTTTCTTCCCATTACATTGTTAATTTGGGGGCCATGGGCTGTAAAAGTTTTATTCTATTCTTGGAGGAATGAGAGCTGAGGTTGAGGTACTATGGAGAGGTTTTCTGTTCACCTGTGCCTGGAGTGATTCGCTTTTACCTCTTGTGTCAAGAAGAACCTTGTGAAATCTGAATACTTTCCCAGTCTCTCCACTGTTAGAGAATTCTTAATTAATGAGTTCGTCTTCCCTGTTCTCTCCCTTTCCCCGTTCCACATCCAGACTTGTGTAATTTGCCACTTCTCCTGAAATATTGCTGGGCCTGCGTTTCCCATGTAGGGTGTGCTGGGAACTGTGTTGGCTTTATTGTTCTAAAAATTAGGGCTGCTTTGATCGATCATCCTTTAACTAGCAGCACTTTGATCACTGGTTCTTAATTGGTGCCTCCTTGCTCAGCAGAAGTGTAGGATGGTGACCACATCAAGGATTGACGTACAGTTTGCCTAGTTTGATTTTAAAGTATGTAGGCAATGCTTCCCCAAGCACTTACTTCCGAAAAGTTAGGGATCATCATGATGGTGTTGCAAGACCCTCAGGGGTGGGAGGGAGGTGGTTTTTTTTGTGCTGCTCTTTAATTGCAGGCTGGGAAGGCAGATTTGCCATAGTAGGCTTTGTTTCCTCCATTTGCTATAAAAACGGTTGTGCTGATGAAGGTCTACGGCTTAGGGGAAGTCTCTTTGAGTATCAGTTTTAGACTGAAACAGCGCACCTTAGAGATTGCTGGAGTCCACTGAGGATTGTTGGAAGAGAGACAGACGAGCCAGAAGCATCTGTGCCGTTATAGTAGGTATTCTGTGGCTTAAGGCTTGGTAGGAGCTGCTCCCTCATTCTTATTGGCTACTCTTTGAGAACAGAGCATGTCACCCTGTGGTGTTTCAGAGGGTTTGTGAGGGGATGAGAGGTGTGGACACGCTAATAGAGCCTGCAACAATTGAGTGTTGGACAGATTTCCTTTGGGCGATATGACCTCTTTTGGACATTTCAGAGGAGGAGGAAATATGTGCCTCTCTTCTCAGATGGTAGACAGAGATACTTTTCTCAGAAGGGGGAATATTTGGCTTCTCTAGAGTTGGGGAGCTCAGTTCTGTTGCACCCTGGATAGCCGTAGTTCAGAAGGGCTCCAGCCTTTACACTTTGAATTTAAAACAGACATGTCGATGGGCATGAGAAGGAAAAGGAGAAGGATGTGTAGTCATTGTAGTAAAAGCTCTTGATAAGAACCAAAGATGGGTTGGGTGACCCAGGATCTCTTACAATACACAGGATGTGTCATCTTCCGGGTTGATGACTTACCTTTTAATTGTTGTTATTCAGTCATTAAGTCATGTCCAACTCTTTGTGACCCCATGGACCAGAGCATGCCAGGCCCTCCTGTCTTCCACTGCCTCCCAGAGTTGGGTAAAATTCATGTTGGTAGCTTCAATGACACTGTCCATCCATCTTGTCTTCTGTCATCCCCTTATCTTTTAATAGGTGAAATGCAATTCACACAATTACATTTACTTGTAAGCTTTGATGGTATTTCCAAACACTTCCATTTAACTGTGAAAGTTTCACCTTAAAATATGAATACTGAACTCTTTCTGACTGTTATCTGGGGCTGTAGCACACGTCTTCCCTGGGTTAGAATGGTCTCATGTGACCTTCAGATGTCCATAGAGTCCACTGTAGTGTGCATTCGCTTGGTCAGTGTCCCCCCTCCCCCAATTCTAAAGATTCACATTGTTCAGAGAAGCTCAGATAAGAAAAAAATAAAGAGTAATTCCATGTATCATCATACTAATTTGTTAAGCCCAGAATTTCATTAGAACTCTCCCCTTCTGCCTCACTGTCAACGGAGTCAACCTGGCTGGTGCTTTGTTATTCTTCTGCTGACTAAAACAGCTTGCATTCTGAACAGTGAGACTGTTTTCCATTTGTTGCTTCAGCTTGTTGTCAGCCGAGGTTACACTGGGGGATAGGTAAGGTAAAGGTTCCCCTTGACATTTAGTCCAGTTGTGTCTGACATTAGGGCGCGATGCTCATCCCCGTCTCTAGGCTGTAGAGCCAGCGTTTGTCCGTAGACAGTTTCCGTGGTCACGTGGCCAGCACGACTAGACATGGAACGCCGTGAACCCACCGAGGTGATACCTATTTATCTACTCACATTTTTACATGCCTTCAAACTGCTAAGTCCCAGTAGTTTAGCCTGGGTTCCTCAAGGTTGTTTCTTTTATAATTATTATTATTATTATTATCTGTCTTCACCTCAGGTTGGGGTGATGGTTGTGTCTGCACAGTGTGTGGAGAAACCTGTCCCCCACAGATTTTGACAGTCATCTTCTGCTCCAACAGGCAGTTTTCTAACAGAACACAAGGAGCGTCAATCGCTATGCAGAGTTCAGATCTTCAGGACACGAATAGCGACTTGAAAAGCGAAAACATGGGCAAGGACAGCGAGGCCAAGAGTGAGCAGCCGGCTGACTTCAGTACAGAGATCATGAGTGTCACGGAGATGGAGCAGTCCCCTGATCACTCTCCTGGTGTCAATGCCCAGGAGGAGAGCCCCCAAGACAGTGAGGTACCAGTCACTGAAACAGAGAAGACTGCTGAACCCGAACCGGCGTTCCCTCTGGAGTTTGAAAAATTCTGGAATGTAGTTGAAACGAATCCGCAAGATTTCACAGGCTGGGTCTATCTCCTCCAGTATGTAGAGCAAGAGGTTAGTATTTTAATCTTAGCATTTCCCCCCTACTGTTTGTTTGTGTGTGTGTGTGTGTGTGTGTGTACACACACACACAAACACACAAGGCTTGATAACTGTGTGTTTAGGCTTATCATAATCGCCAGAGTCTCAGGCATTTTAGAAGCATTACAAAGAATAAAGGATGTGGAGTACAGGATATATTAAAAATTGCAGCAAACGTTACACTGAAAATAGCTGTTCATTAACTATGTTCAAATGCTAGATTGTATGGAAAGTTCTTGTAATATTTTCAGGAGATAAGCTTCTAAAGAGAGAGGATGGAAGGGTTCAGTGCCTTAAAGCAACCATCAAGATATATATTTTTTAGTGAAATTAGCATAGCGTTCTCAACAAGTTATAAATCTTAGGCAACAGCAGACTTGTAGTGATATACTGTCAGCAGATGTTATCACCTCCCTGCCTTGAGGAATAGTACACCGTCTCCTTTTATCTCTCTCTCTCTCTCTGTGTGTGTATTTGTAGGCTACCTTATAGTATTTGTAGGCTACCTTTCTCTCCATAGAACAAACAACTAGAACAAAAACTAGGAAAAAAACAACAGTATTAAAAATACCATATGAATGCCATATTAAAATATATATTACGATTAAAAACCAAGATTAAAACAATTTAAAACATCTAACACCTTGTAAGCTCAAAACCAGCATCCCAGAGACAACTTTTTGCATAAAAGCCTGCCTGAAGAGGAAGGTCTTTGCCTGAGGATGATGGAGAGACAAGAGGGAGGGAGGGAGGGGGCAACTTGGCTTCTTGGGGCCATACATTCTAGAGCCTGGGAGCAGCCCCTGAGGAGGCCCTCTCTTATGTCCTCACCAAGTGAGTTTGGGAAGCTGGGGGCACCGAGAGAAGGGGTCCTCCCCAGAAGACCTTAGAAGCCAAAAAGGCTCATATGGGGGGGGGGGTTGATACAATCCTTCCAATATCCTGGACCCAGGCTGTCTAGGAGGGCTTTATAGATCATGACCAGCATGATTTTGGGCCCAGAAACAGTCAGGTGGCCAGTGGAGCTGTTGTAATCAGCGATATAACCAGCAGCCTGGCTGCAGCCTTTTGAACCAGCGGAGGTTTCCAAGCACTCTCCAAGGGCAGCCCCATGCAGAGCTTCTCTTACTCTTTACCTCCTTTCTGATCACTGGACTATTCTGGGAAGTAAAAAGTTTATAGTCGGGAAAGTTGGGAATTGTGGCATCTGTCAAAAATGTTTTGATGAGGGTTCTAGATGTTTGTGACTTCTAACAGACATTTTGATGATCAACGGGAAGGTCTTGGTCTCAAAATTACATAGGGGTCAAGGCAACATGACAGTTATAGAGGTAGGAAAAACACATCTTGAATGAAAGGAATCTAGAAATGTGTTGTATGTTTCTGGCAAGCCTTATGTATCAGAAGACTATGAAGGGCATCTCTAAAGTGAATTTGGAGTCCAAGAATTGTGGACTTTTCCTATTTATATTTTTAACTGGCTATAGCTCATGAAACCTTAAGTTGAGTAATATAAGTCCACTGCTTGTCATTAAGGATTCTTCTTCTTTGTCCAACCCCTCAAAGGTGTTGGGCTGTTTCTTTGCCAAGTAATAATATAAGTAGCACTTGAAATAAATTCTGAATTTGCAAGCTGATAGACTAAAAATGTTATTAGAAAGCTTTTTGTTAAAAAAATATTGGGCTAAGAGGAGCTTTAGGGCACAGTGGTTAAACTGCACTGCTGTTGTGAAGACTTTGCTTACAACCTGGGTTTAAGCCTGACAGGCTGAGGTAGCCAGCTCGGGGGGGGGGGCTCAACCCTCCAGCTTTCCAAGGTTTGTACATTGAGTACCCAGCTTGCTGGTGGGGTGATGTGTAGCCTGCATAATCAAAGTATAAACCACCAAGTGAGAGCTTTAAGCTTTGTGGAGTGGTATATAAGCACAGCGCTTTGCTTTAATGTGGAGAAAGTCATTTCTGATGTTTCTTGCTTGCGTCTGTGAGGTCCTGCTAATACATGTCATTAAGTATTCTGCCTAATGGTTCAAGTGCAGTTGACGTTACTGGGCGAGGCATGCCTTGTGCTGGGATAGTCCAGAAATGCTTGCACTAGAGTGTCTTGCAGAATCAAAACGTCAGTCCAATACTGGGTTGAAGTTCGTCTGGAGTCAAAAGGCTGCTTGTTTGGCCCTACGTTTATTTATATATATTTACAGGCTGCCTTGCTCTCATAAGGAACTCAGAGTGATTCACAACAATAAAAAGTATAAAAGAATCAGCAGTTTTAAAAACACTATATAAATGTCCTACTAAAAACAAAGGTTCCCTTTTTGCTTTTCCTTGGAAGGGCTTGTTTAGACTCGCTGCCCCAAACATAGATTAAGAGAATCTGAGGATGTTTTACTCACTGCAGAAATTAGTCCAGCCGGAGGGGCCCTGATAAGTGAACATACAGTGAATACCTTTATGGGAGGAGAGCCTGGGTTGGCGCATCCCACTGTCAAAACATTTCTTGCCATTTGGCTGGTTCGCCTTACGTTGGGCCCGCAGTTTGTTTCCTTACAGCTTTGAATGTCATTGTGTCTTCGGAAGCCTTTGGGGGGGGGGAGGCTGTCCCATCTGGTGCGTTTGTGGCAGCTTTGGAAATACAGTGGTGCCTCGCTTAGCGAGTGCACCGTATAGCGATGTTTCCGTATAGCGATCCCTTTTTCGGGATCGCTATACGGAAACATACCCGATCTTCGCAATGGGGAAAACCCGCATTGCGAAGATCGGGTATTGCGGCGGCCATTTTGGAGCCGCCGAACAGCTGATCGGCGGTTCCAAAATGGCCGCCGGAAGCCCGGAAATGGCTGCCGGCAGCCGTTTTCGTGCCCTGCCCTCGCTTAGCAAAGGCGCGAAAATGGCTCCCGGCACCTGGAATCCTCGCTGAACGGGTAAGTAACGAAGGTATTGGAACGCATTAAACGAAGTTTAATGCGTTCCAATACCTTTCCCCTACCCGTTTAGCGATGATTCCGTATAGCGAGGTTAATCCGGAACGGGTTAACCTCGCTATACGGGGCACCACTGTATTTGGAGGTCACTATCATGCCTCCTCTTAATCTTTTCTTCAAGCTGGCTCTTTAAGCCATAGAACCTAAGTTCCCATATCCCTCCCAGTCCTCCCAGTTACCTTCCCTTGGAGCATGTCCAGTTGGCCATGATCAGAGAAGCAAGTATGGAAAAGGAGATGACAGGGACGTGGGTCTGACTAGAAGTTAAAAGGCAGCTGCAAGGGTGTATCCTGGCCGCTTTTCTCCTTGGGTCTTTATGGGCCACTTTACTGGACATGTTGGATGAGGAGCAGAGGACGGCAAGTGCTAAGGCACCCTCGACTTTAAGCAATGAGAGGTTAAAATTGATTCATAATAGGCAGCTTGATTTAAAACCCTTTTTCTTAACAAAATAGAATTGAAGAAAATACAGAAGGAATTATCATACAGAAATTAGCAAACAGGTTAAAAACATTGATTCTAATTTAAAATTTCATTAGTTTTTGATTGGTGACACATTTTTTTTCTTTTATTTAGTGTGATGTTAGAGCTTTAGTACTTCACACAGCTGTGCTATGGGGAATCCACATCTTGTTTTTTATGGCCTCCATGTGGCAAAGACTGTAAGGGAATTTTACTTTCCTTTTTTTTTTATTGCCTCACATCAAGGTTATCCTAGACAGGTAACACATTTCTCTTCATTTAAGTTTACATTCTGTAGGAATTTTATACAAGGCATTGGAGAAAGCTTAAAACCATAAGAAAAAAAGTATTTTGAGGGTGGGGACAGAGGAGATATTCCCCGTACCATTTTAATTTTGCCTGAAAAGTTGTCTGAGGAAGATGTGGGGTCTCTGGCTGCTGACTAGACTGAGACTTTGAGTCTGCAGAGGAAGAGGATTCCAGCGCTGAAGGGCCATCCACACACCTTTGTGCCCTGTTCCATAGACTTGGCACATTGATGAAGTGCTCGGAAATTTTTTTTTTATTGAGTTCTGGTTAGTGGTTGTAAAATTCAAGAAGAAGGTGGTCTCTCGTATTTTTCTTCTGTTCAGCATGTGTTCAGATAAAGAATAACCAGACCCAACGGTCCATCTCAATTTAACCTTTTGGGGGAAGTGCTGTTGGTGTGAACCTTAGCTTTGTTCAGAATTTGAGAAGTCGCTTTCCACGCTTAAGCCTGTGTGCCGTATGTCACTTTCAGATGTGTTTTTTCCCAAAGTCTGAACCTGCTGTGTGTTTCTCCCAGAACCACTTGTCAGCTGCCAGGAAAGCCTTTGACAGTTTTTTCACACATTATCCCTATTGCTACGGCTATTGGAAGAAGTACGCCGACCTGGAGAAGCGGCACGGCCACACGAAGCAGGCCGACGAGGTACGTACACCGCGCTGGGCTGGCAGCCGTTGCTTTTGGGTCCCGCGAGCCAAACAAGGAACAGACCACGGCAGAGTTGCCCTCTTTGGCCGCCCGTCCCTGCTGTTTTCGCACAGGGCTTTTTTGGTTTGCGCTCGTCCCTCCTTGTGGCGCTGGAGCTAACGTCTTCTCTCTTTGTTGGCAGGTGTGCTAAACTTCTACTACAGTTTGTCAAGCTTTGCAGTGCAAGCGTCTGCATTACACTGCAGCTTAACAAGTAGGGCAGGGCTTTTCTGTCACTTACCTTATACATTTATTATTATTATTATTATTTCACAAAATTCGAACGCTGTGGTTGGTTTTGCTGGTCACTCTTGCTACATCTTATTGCATTTTTGGTCAGACGCTGTCATTGGTGCTCTAGAGGGTCTGTGCCCTATGGTCTGTACCCCAAAGCCTGCCCACACAGCCTGGTCAGATGCAGGGACCGCTGCGCTTTGAAGATCAAGACTCCGCTCGTGGAGATCAGAGCATTGCCATGTTCTAGCCAACCTCCACCCAAATGGTAATGGTAGATTATTTAAACAAAATTCCAGTACATTAGTATTTTTTTAAGGTTCACCGGATAACACAGTGTTGCCTCTCGCTTAGGACCTCATTGGAGGGTTCGAAGGATAGCTCTCTCTTTTTTTGGTGTTCTCTTCATAGGTCTATCGGAGAGGGCTCCAGGCCATACCTCTCAGCGTTGATCTCTGGATCCATTACATAAATTTCCTCAAAGAGACGCTGGATTCTAGCGACCCTGAAACTGTTGGGACCATTAGGGGGTAAGTTCCTTGAGCTAAGGACCCAGCCGTTGTACTCTTTGCCGTAGAATGTTTTCACCGACCAGTCAGAAAATGTGTGACCAGAAACATTCCACTGGGACCTGCGTCTCTTTAACTGGGGTATGGAATGGGCAGAAGATGGACCTCTTGCAAGAAGCATGCTGATGAGGAGAGCAGAGGGGACTTCACTTCGTAGGCATAGATTTTTGAAAAAAATGTTATATCTCTATATAATCACCCTTAGTCAGCGTGGACAGTGGTGTAGGATTATGAGAGCTGCAATTCAGGAACTGGAGGGATGTGAGAATGGAAGACTATCTTATTCCTACCTCTCCTGGATGGTTTTTAAATATATATATTTCTGGGCGGGGGGCGGGGGAGAGGGAACCATCGTGGGAAAGGCTGATCTGAGATCTAAACTTTTGTGATACATGAGATAGCAGGCATTCTAGGTCCAGCTTTTCTACCCTTTTAAGATGGTCCCAGGGGAATCAGTGAGGAACGGACGTGTTGCAGAATTTCTGATTTCACTTTAAGAGAAAGAAACTCTCATGCTTTTGTAAGGCCCTACACTGAGTAGCCGCCCTGAGTAGACATGGTCTAGAGGGGCAGGGTCTAAATTTAATAAATAAATAAATACTTGTTTTCCATGGTCACCAAGATTGTTTTGCTCCCCTAGGACCTATGAGCATGCCGTCTTAGCTGCAGGGACAGATTTCCGCTCAGACAAACTCTGGGAAATGTATATAAACTGGGAGAATGAGCAAGGCGATCTGAAAGCGGTGACGGCTGTGTTTGACCGGATTCTCGGGATTCCAACTCAGCTGTATAGCCATCACTTCCAAAGGTGAGAGGATGGCAGCCGTGTCGTCGTCTGGGTCAGACTTGTGTGGCTTCTTTGACTCCTGTTTCCTCTTTTGGCAGGGCTGAGGGCTCTTTGGAGGGACATTCATTCAGCCCAGGGGCCCTGAAAAAGGCACCCTGCTCTCCTTCTGTCCCTTCTCCACTGGTGGTTGTACCCCAAACTGAAAAAGCGAGCAGTTGTGACACCTCAGCTCTTTAACTTGGTTTTACAGCAGTTAGTAATGTCACGTCTTTCAGAAGTAAAGATCAGTTAATGTAACATTCTCTTGTAGAGGTATTATTGGCACTCCATTTTAAAGAGACATTTTGTTGTCTAGAAGTTAGTAGCTTTAGTTGCTTGATGAATAAATATTAATGGAAACAAAGGCTGCTTGTAAATGGGCAGAGTTATGTACAGTGTGCTTGTAAAGGTAAAGGTAAAGGTTCCCCTTGACAATTTTTGTCCAGTCGTGTTCAACTCTAGGGGGCGGTGCTCATCCCCGTTTCCAAGACATAGAGCCAGCGTTTTGTCCGAAGACAATCTTCCGTGGTCACATGGCCAGCGCGACGTAGACACAGAACACTGTTACCTTCCCACCGAGGTGGTCCCTATTTATCTGCTTGCATTTGCATGCTTTCGAACCGCTAGGTTGGCGGGAGCTGGGACAAGCGACGGGCGCTCACTCCGTCGCGTGGATTCGCTCTTACGACTGCTTGGTCTTCTGACCCTGCAGCACAGGCTTCTGCGGTTTAGCCTGCAGCGCCACCACGTCCCTCTGTTATGTACAGTGTGCTTGTAACTCCTGTTTTTAGGATTCCATCTAAGAGTAGTTCAGTTTGCCACAAACTGAGAGGCAGAAAACCTCACAGGGATGCTCCAGCTGTGTATTCCAGTGCACATTGAACCTCTCTGAACGCTGCTGGCGCTGCATTAAGGAAATCTCTAAGGAAGCCAGTTCCACCACATCTCTCCCCCCCCCTTAACTGTGGAGTCATTTTAAAAGGAATGTTTTTCCAGTCATATATTCTTCAGACTAAAGTATCCTCTGAATGAACGTTGAACTAATATTCAAAAAAGCGTCTGCTAGCCAGTGCAGGCTTGTTGTTTTTACAGAAATAACTCTTTAAGAGTGGTTTACCTTTGAAAGAAGGAACTGATACCTTTTCCTAGTCTTGTGTCCTTTATGAAAGGCTGTTACAAAGAACGGCTAAAAGAGTTGGAGGCTTCTAGAATTGCACCAGAATTACCTAGGTGTCTCACTTCCAGCTAAAAAGAGAGACACCATCTTCTGTTTCCTTTGTGGCTTAATGGAGACAGACAAGCTCAACATTCTGAAAGATAATGTTGCAAATGCCATCCCTATTTTCAAAAAGGAAGAAAGAGGAGTCCCACAGTAAATGCTAGGCAGCATAACAGCAGGAGAGGTATTTAGACTACATTGCTAAGTAGCCAGTCTGTGAGCATTTAGAAAAGAGCATTTCTCAAAAACAAGTCATGCCCGACTGGTGCTAGCTCTTGTTTTGGTGAGCCACAAACTTTGTAAATGAAAGGAATGCTCTCCTTGCAGCACACCTTGGTATAAGCAAGGCTTTTGATAATGTCTCTTAGGGTAATCTTGTGGCCAAGCTGATGAAATGTGGACTAGAGGATGATGCTCCTCTTTGTAACTGGTTGACAGGCTGACGTGCCTAGAGTGGGGCTGCTCACCAATAAATGATTCCTTGCCATCCTGGAAAGTAGTGACAGGTGGGGGTACCACGAGATTTTGTGCCATGCCTTGTGTTGTTCAGTGTTCTTTTTAAAAATAATAATAACGTACTTGAGATGGCGGACAGCATCCTCTGCAGATAACACCAGACTTGGTCCGGTGGCTAATACTTCAAAAGACAGAATCAAGATTCAAGAGGTTGTTGATAGATTGAAGGACTGGAGTAAAGAAATAAAACGAGTGGAATCCACCCACAACTAAGGCGAAGGCCCATTGAACAAATGGAGATTTGGAGGGTCAGCAGTTCCATAACTTCCCCTGACGTGCAACAGCCAACCCTGTTGTTGTTGAATAGTCAGTACTAAAGTTCAGCCAATGAGTTTTAATTAGGAAAAATGTAAAATCATGCACTTAAGTGGAAAAACCAAATGTAGGAGACAGCTGACTCTCTAGTAGTACTTGTGAAAAGGATCTAGGTGTCGTACTAGAAGAAAGAGATGTGGGGAGAGTTAGTGCTGTACTAGGCCTCCTCAGTGCTATCTAACTTAAAGGAGGTAATTGTACCACTTTATTCGGCTTTGGTCACCAGGAATGCTATGTCCAGTTCTGGAAAAATGTCAGCCGTATAAATGAGGCTTTTGAGAAGCTGGAAGGGTGCCCATGGGAGGGATAATAAAAGGTCTGAAAACCAGGCTCTGCAAAGAACTATTGTGGGAACTGGGCACTTTTAGCATAGAAAAGAGAAAACAGAGAGGAGATATGACCAGCCGTCTTCCAGTATAGGACCCTCATGTGGAAGTTGGAGCAAGCTCGTTTTCTGCAGCTTCGGAGGGGAGGACTCGAAGCGGCGGAGCCAGTTTGCAAGAGAACCCGTTTCTTCTAAACATTTGGACAAACTTTCTGGCAGTGGAACAGACAGACTGCCTTGAGAGATGATGGATTCTCCGCTCTTGCAGGCTTTAAAGGGGAGGTTGCTTTAGCCATGGATTTCATGCTCCTTCAGAGGAGGGAGCTAGGCTTGGTGACCAGTGGAGTCCCTTCTGGCTACATGATTTTGAAAGATGAAAAGGAAGGTATTAGGTCTGCTTGGAATAAAACACAAAGTCTGCTGTGTTATTTTAGAATATTTCATGGACTGCTTTAGTCTTCGGGTAAACGAATAATAGAGTAGCTGATATTTCACAGCCCAGCTCATCAGCCTGTGCATGACTACCTGTTTTCTTCACATTTTCTGTTCAGTGAACAGTCACGGCTTACGGCATCTCCTGGGTCCTTCAAACTTTAGTAAGTTCAGGTTGCTGTAATACAACATAGCAAGCATAAAATAAGGTGGCTGTTTTCTGCTCCATTGCAGGTTCAAAGACCATGTACAGAATAATCTGCCACGAGATATTCTCGCTACGGAGCAGTTTATTCAGCTGCGCAGGGAGTTGGCTTCTTCCGCCACTAGCCATACTGGGGAGGGTGCACCCCCTGGTGATGACCTCCCTTCTGGAACCGAAGATATAACTGATCCCGCTAAGGTAATCAACCCGTACTTTCTGTAGCTGCAGTTGGATGCAAATGCCAGGCGCACCTGAGGAGAGATCTGCTACTGCCGCAAAACATTGATTCCCCGTCCCCTTCTCCTCCCTAATCCTCTTCTCGTGTCTCCTTTGTGCCATCCAGAAACCTACTAAAGTGCTTTTCTCAGGACCATCCTGGAGCAGCTGGCTTTCAGGGTGCAGGGAGGAGCAGGGGTCTCCTCTTTCCCTTTTCCAGTGGTGGTGGGAGCAGTTCTACCGAAACTCAGCTGCTGTTAGAATGGCAGTTTATGCTGGACATCCAGCCCACGGACCTGCCCCCCTTGCCTGCCTTTGCTCTGGTGGTCCCTTCCTGGCTTGGCTTCAAAGGCCAGTTCATCTCTTCCTTGGCCTTCCTTTTTTCCTGTTGCCTTTCACAGCATTATTCTTTTTTTTTCCTACTGAGGGTTGTCTTACGTTGCGTCCAAATAACGATAAGTTGGATGTAGGGCATGCTTATTGTCTTCCTGCTTGTTCAGATACTTGCCAAGCTGCCCTCTAGTAGCGCATTTTGAATGAGTTGGGTGTTTCCTCTTGTTCTCTTCCTTCACTGCCCACCCACCTCTCTCGCATCCCCATACATAAGTAGTTGGGCATACCGTGATGTCGATGATCTTGGCCTTGGTTTCCAGCGGCACTCCTTTACATTGGAGGATCATGTCGAGTTCCTTCAGAACTGCTGTTTCAAGTTTCAGACTACCTTTGCGTTCTTGAGTCTGATTTTGATTGCTGTTTGGGATAAGATCCAGAATGTTGTCAGCAATTCAGATGTCTGTGTTGCCAACGTTAAGAGTACACTGGTAGCGGGCTAAAAGATTTTGTTCCCCATTTTGGCCTTAGGCTCCCTAGAATTCTTCACCACCACCTGGCTTACTGTATGTGCCAGCGGTAGTATTCACACCTGCCCTCCACGCTCCCAGTTTTCTAGAGTTCCTTTTTTTGACTTTCCTTCTTTCAGAAGCAACAGCTTTAAGCAAAGAGGAAAACAGAAGTATGTCTTTCTGATTTTTTTTTCTTAAAAGATTTTCTTTTTGTGTGCCTCCAGCTGGTAACAGAAATAGAAAACATGCGACACAGAATAATTGAGATTCATCAAGAAATGTTTAATCACAATGAGCATGAAGTCAGCAAGCGGTGGACCTTTGAGGAAGGGGTAAGTTCACATGAAGGACCTGAACAGAAAACTTAATGGGAGAGAGGGATCCTGTTTAACAGGGGAGATGGCTTTCTCTGGAAGCTTAAGAGGGACGCGTCAGTGACCCATCCTGTTTGGGGCCCTTGCAGATCATGCCCAGAATAGCTTGAAATCAGCGACACAACCTGAAGTGTCTGGTTTCACAGCTAATACCACAGAGTCGGGGCTTGCATGCGTGAGAAAGTGAGCAACAATACTATCCGAATGTGTCTGTGTCTCTCTCTCTCTTCTTTTCATTTTTCTTTTGTTTTTGCTTCTGTTTTTCATGTTCATAAAATCATTTTCTATTCACTGAAACATGCAGCTGTACTGTAAGGCTGGGTATTTAACTGGCCAGAAAAAGGTTGGCTTGATTAATGTACAGCGTTAGCACTTGTCACAGCAGAGAAGCAGTGGGGCTGAAATGTAACACACACGTCAGAATGTCACCGGGGTTCCATCGCCAGGATTCCCTGAGGGCCAGTGATGGCTGCTTGTCTTTGTGGGGAAGATGGTTTCAGCTGTACCTTGGCACATGTGGCACCTGACGGAAATAATTAAAAAAATATGGAAGCTGCCTCTTAAATACATTTTTGGCTCCACCGAATCCTTGGCGGTGCTTGACGTTAGAGAATTGACAGATAGGCTGTTGTTGCACTGAGGAGTCGATGCCTAAATCTGTTTCTGTAGGCCAGTGACTTTGGGGATTTCCCAGGTGTGCCTGAAAGGGGTGGGACTCCGTCTGGGCTTCCCCGTTCCATCTCGGAGAGTCTGCTTTGGTGGGTGGGTTGGTTTTTTGCCTAGCATTTTTTTAATGCATAAGGTGCCTTTGTCCAGTCCAGAGTGCAAGAGAAGGGCACCTTTGCCATGTTTTGGGCACCACCTACATCCTTAGCCCCCACTTTTAAATTTTTAAAATAATTAGTTTGGGCCAATAACAGTGTGTGGGAGGGGGAAATAACATTTTCAGTTGATGAAAAAAAAGAGTAAGGGGAAGGTGTGGGATTGGTTGTGAACCTCTGCCACCATGGATTAAAAGGGAACTTTTGCCCTCTGGTATTGCTTTATATTTACATTCGAAGGAGATTTAGCACTGGAGGACTGGGTTCTGTAAGTGACACGTGTGCTAACTTCACCTTCCACAACTGTTCTCGGTGGTAGTTTTGTACATCTGCACAGTTGTGTTGTCCTTAGAGCGCAGCACCCTTTAGTGTGGTTGCAACACTTCAGTCTGTCCTTCTGTCTCAGTTCTGCCTGTGGGCACTCCCCCCTTCCTGGTGGAAGAAATGCTGGCTGATGCCTCAGCTGCTGCCTGCCAGACAGGATTGAGATTGCTCTCCTATCTCTTTCTGCCTCTTCAGTGCATGCTTTATTTGCTTTTCAGGGCGTCTCTCTGAAAAGTACACATGTGACCTGCATAGATCTGGCGTGTGTCATGCTCTCCTGATTTGGTTTAGCAATTTAAACTTCACTTGAAATTGTCAGATTGACAAAAATGCTGTTCCTTGTAATCCAGTCCACCCAGGCCCAGGGTTGCAAGGTTAGGGGTGGCAGAAAAGCAATAGGTTCTGGCCGCCTGCTGTTACACATTCCTTTCTCACTCAAGTCAAGCCAAATATGTATGTGTGCATCTGCTCGTAATTAGCATCAGAAGTAGATCAGTCTCTGAAAAAGAGAGAGAGAGAGAGAGAGATGGCCTTCAAGAACAGGGGTCTCCAATCTATGTCCTGCGGGCCACATCTGGCCTGCCTTGCCTTTTTATCCGGCCCAGGCATGGGAAGGGAGGACCAAAACGACCCCCCCCCCACTGTCTTTGCAAAGGCATCGAGGGTGGGGGATCACTTGGGTTCCCCTTCCCTCCTTCGGCCCTTGAAAATGTGTAAAATACATGATGTGGCCCTTGTGCTGGAATGTTTGGAGGCCCCTGTTCAAGAAGAAACTCTGGCTGAGAAAACTCTGCCACGTCTGGAGAAATCTTTCTCATGCATTACTATGTCCTGCTTTTTTCCTTAATGGCTTTTGCTACCAAGAGGATTTTCTAGGCATACAAAAATGGTAAGATAACAGCAGAAAATATAAAATTACCTGGAAGGGGGACATGGGACTCCTGACTTCGATTCAGTCCAACCGAAAGGGGCATTTGGCAGTGGCAGCAAACTGAGGGTCACCACCGGTGCCCTCCATAGCCAGAGATGGCCTTTTCCTTCTTGTTGTTGGATAGGTGCGTTAAGAGAACGTGTGGGGAAAGAATGCTTTGCCCCAACTCTTCTAAGCCCATCGTCTCTAGTCAAAGGTTAAAAGTGGGTGGAAGGCCCTTCTGTCTGTCTGTCTGTGTTTCTCGCTCCCTGTGGGGAGCCATAGGAACCGCCTTTCCAGAGTCACCTGGTTGAAGGGGGTTGCTATAGTACAAAAAGGGCAAGCCTTGGGGTCTCTCCAGATGCTTTGGTCTACAAGTCCCACGGCCTGGTATCATTGGCATCAGCGCAGGTTGGGATTTCTAGGAGCGGTGGTCCAAGTCACGAGCTTGGCCGCCCTCCTTCCACCTCCACCTAGTGTGGGTCTCCTCTTGCAAGCTGAAAATCGAGGCTCGCTCACTCCCTGGAGGAGGAAGAGCTCCAGGGGCACCCTGTGGCTTTCTGTAGGCCAGATGACGTGCCTCTGCCACGGGCGTCCTGCTCCTCTCCCTTCCCCTCCTTGTCACTTGTCCGAAGAAGGAAGGGCGAGTCTCCTTGTCACTTGCTGCAGAAAAGTGCATTTGTGGATGTGGGCCTTGCACTTCATGGCGGAGGCAAGAGTTGAACGCTGGAAGGGCTATATGTAGTCTGACTAACCCATCCCAAATGGGTGGGTCCCACACCCAATGAATATCAGCCGGTAGGATTCATTTGGAGTTCCTTGGATGTGTTTCTAAATCACTTTGTGCTGTCTTCAGCTTCTGGCGCAGTTGGAATTTAATTAAGGACCTTGTCAGATGTTTATCTTCCCTGAATGAAAGTAATGAAAATATATGAGGAATTTGTGTTCCCTGCGGCTGGCAGATCATACTGGCCCGATGCTGATAAAGAGATGGAGGGCTGTGTGATTAACTGGGGGGGCAGCGTGCCAGGCTCTTCTTGGCCGTGGCTGGGAAATGGAGTATCATTTGAAATCCCTGCTGATCTTGGACTTCAGAGGGTCTGAATTGTTTTACTGGCTTCTCAGAACAGATAGTTGCTGTGTAGGTACGGTTGGATCCTCCCGGAATGGGAGGCGCCCTAGGTGGCTTAGTGGTGTGGCAGACGTTCCAAGGGGAAGGATGAGTTTTCCGGTGTGGCTGTCCAGAGCCGAAGAAGAGTGGAAGTAAAGTAGACAAGGCTAGGGTGCGGCCCTGCAGGTGCCTTCCACCCATTCCGTTTCACATGAACTGAATACTCCCCAGTCATAATGCCGACCAGGTCATGAGAACACCTTCCTGGGATAGAGGAGAGGGCTCTCACGTTGCCCGCTTTCACGATAGGGAAGTGGCAAAGGATGTTCCTTGAGGGACGGCTGAAGCTGACGTGGACCTTCTTTATCTTTTGCTGCTCCCCTTGTGTTTCAGATAAAACGTCCTTACTTTCACGTTAAACCTCTGGAGAAAACCCAGCTGAAGAACTGGAAGGAGTACTTAGACTTTGAGATTGAGAACGGAACGCACGAGCGGGTGGTGGTCCTCTTTGAGCGCTGTGTGATCTCCTGCGCCCTCTACGAGGAGTTCTGGATCAAGGTACGGGGCGCGTCTCCTTTGCACAGACAGCTCTTTTCCCTTTGCAAACATTGATGATCAGTGACTAACCTTCTGTACTCTTGTTTGAATGTTGTTCATGTATAACTATATCTGTTGCATTAGGAGATGGTCTGCTTGCAACCAGATTTGACAGCTGCATATGCCAACTTCGTTGCCTCTCTTCGTCCTTCCTTACAGAAACTAGTCTAATGGTTCAATAAAGGTGCTGAATGGGTTTAAACACAAGAATTTTATAGTTCTCTCAAGTATTTAGCGGCCCAGAGTAAGGTGGGAATCATTCAGTGTCTGCTCTGTCTTCAAATGCAGTATGCCAAGTACATGGAGAGCCACAGCATCGAGGGGGTGAGGCACGTCTACAGCCGGGCTTGCACGATACACCTCTCTAAGAAGCCGATGGTGCACTTGCTCTGGGCAGCCTTCGAAGAACAGCAAGGTGAGGCCTGGGGGTGGGCCTCCTCCAGGGGTGGGAGGGCAGGCAAAGCGTGGCCCTCCAAAGATGGTTTGACGTGCTCCTTCCTTCAGCCCCAGGGACCAAAGCCCAAGGCGCGGAGGGATGCTGCTGCCCAGGCCTTGCCAGCCAAGAACGTCCGTTCTAGAGGAATGGTGGAGGAAGAACAGCACATAAGAGGAAGCCGTCAGCATCAAGCGATTGCCGAGCGGGCCACTCTTACCTGTTTCAGGGAATGAGATGCTGCCCTTAAATCAGATGCTCCGGCAAGACCAGAACAGAGAATATTCTGGGTGTCTCTTCTGGTCTTGTTGGAGCGTCTGGTTCAAGGGCAGCATCTCATTCCTCGAAACAGACAAGAGCAGCCCACTCGGCAATCGCTTGATGCTGACGTATGCAAGCAAGCTGCACAGACTGCTTTTGTACCTCTCTCTCTCTCTCTCTCTCTGTCTAAGTATTTCAGCTAGAAAGCCTTCAAATTCAATATTTCAGAAAATGAGCTCCTTCCCTTTTATAAGGACTCACGTTCCATCGTAGTCACTTTTAGGATTCTTTTTGAAGTGTGATTGGATGGAAGAGGAATAGATAGGGTGTTGGATGAGAACTTAAGCAACGTTTATGAGGTTTGGGAAGTAGGCAAGGAGTGTCCTGCTCTCTCTTCTCCCTGGGACCCAGAGCCATTCAGCAGGTGTGCCCTTTGAATCTAAGGGGTAGGTGCTAGCCAGTGAACATTTGCGCGTCCCACCAGTCCTTCCTCCCTCCCTCCCTCGCATGTGTCACAGAAGGCTTACCACTAGGTCTTTGTATCTCAAGAAGAACAATATTAAACAGCAAAGGACCTCACAAGACATATTAATAAATGCAAAAATAAATATACTTTACTACCTGTTGATTCACACTGGCCATGTGACAACGGAAACTGTCTTCGGACAAACGCTGGCTCTGTGGCTTGGAAACGGGGATGAGCACCGCCCCCTAGAGTCGAACACAACTGGACAAAAATTGTCAAGGGGAACCTTTACCTTTTACCTGTTGATTACAATTCTAAATAAAGGGGTTTCATGCATTCAGCGCATTCCCACCACATACATACTCACCAAAGAGAGAATTATTCTTTATCTGCATTGTCCAAGTTCCAAAGAAAGTAGTTCGTTCCAAAAGCCTTTTAGTCTCAGCAGGCAGACAGACTAATGTTTTCCCAGACCCTTCTTCTTATATTCTATTTAGGCAGTTTTTTAAATAGAGAATGCGTCAAAGACATTTCTTTGTCTCAGGTTGTTCACAGGGCATGCATGGTAGAGATTTCTTTAGATATATGGTCCTTATCACTTATTGTGAAGTGTGGAATGCTTAATATGTCTTCCCTCACTTAGTGGACAGGTTTGTAATCTGCTTTGTTCAGGAGGATCCTCGTACCAGGCTCTTCTTAACCCTCGAGTTTGCTCCACTCCCTCAGCAGATGTTTTTTGTCAACTTAGTTCAAAATGTTCACAGTTCAAAAGTTGAATCTCTCACAATGAGGGCTTCTAGCTTGAAATGCAAAGTCTCATCGTTCCTCTGGGTTTTGTTGGTCTCCATCTTTTGTGTCTAACTCTCTCTCTCTCTGGTTCTTCACCTGATCCAGGCCAAACATGCACACACACACACACCACAGGCTCAGGGAGAGGTTTGGTTTTCCTCTTTGGGGAATGAAACTCTTTTCTGCTACGAGGCAGCTGTCCTTACCCACTTGAATTGCATCCGAAATAGTCATTCTGAAGAAGGGTTCTGTGCTGCCAGGCCTTAGGTTGGCCGGAGGGAGCCAGGTGGTGAATTAAGACTGCACGTTGCCTTCCTTCGTACCGTTTTTCTTTCTTGTCTCCCTGGGGCTGTGCAAAGCAGAGGAAGCCCATCTCCTTTGCTACGGGGGAGTCATCCCCACTTCCAGGGCAGTTCCCCTCCAGTGGGAACGATCTTGGTGTGCTTGAGAAGGGAGCAGGGGAAGAGGACCTTGAGAGGCTGCAGGCCCCAGTGGCAGTGGCACTGTCTGCAAGGCACGCGCGCTCACACACACACGCACGCTCCCTTCCCACATTACCTCTCTTCCTTTTAGGGAATATCAATGAAGCCAGAAGGATCCTTAAGACCTTTGAGGAGAATGTTTCGGGGCTGGCAATGATTCGTTTACGAAGAGTTAGTTTAGAGCGGCGGCACGGGAACATGGAGGAGGCCGAGCATCTCCTCCAGGAAGCGGTGAAGAATTCCAAGTCGAACTACGAAGCCTCCTTCTTCGCTGTCAAGCTGGCCCGGCACCTTTTCAAAATCCAGAAGAATCTCCCCAAGGCCAGGAAAGTCTTGCTGGAGGCCATCGATCGAGACCGGGTACGTTGCTTCCGGGGCTGTTTAAGGGACAGGGTCTTTTCCGACCCTTCGGGGGGCGGGGGGAGCACAGACAAGTCTGGCCTGGCAACTGTGATGATTCCCATGACTCTGCAATGCGCATTGCTGCGAGATGGAGACACCAGTCCCTCTAAACTGACGCTGCCAGGCACAGTTTTCTTCAGGGAGAGCTTCCCCTCCAGAGCAGAGCTTGTATGGGCTGGAAGAGAGCTGGCGCTGGACTTAAAAGATGATGTGGAGACATGCAGCCTGAGGCATGCGACACGGACCCTGGCTTGGCCGTGTTGAATCCGTGCAGGCTCTTAAAGCAGGTGGTGGTGGGGAAGCCTCACTGCTGTTTTCATGGCGACAGGAGGCCCTTCTGGAAGTCAGCTGAACGGGGCTCTAAAATTCTATGAATTAGGAGTGCTTGTGGAGAAATAACGCAATGCATGTTAAGGCAAGAGGTAGCGAGGGTTGTGGCTTTGGCAGAGTGAATGTGTCAGGGGTGTTTTGTGAAAGATGGGGAAAAACCCGGAAGATTTTGGAAGGGGGAGGTGAGCTGAGGTCTGGGGAGGGGAAGGGAAATTTGGTTCTCCCTGATGGTTTTGCCCTAATGATAGACATCCCACCCACGTTCCCTCTGGGACCAAGAATTAGCAAGCAGGCTTCCCTCTTTTCCCCTGAAGTAAGAAGACCTTGTTGCTTATCTATTTGAAGAGACTGCTCTGTTTGAGGCCCGATGCTTGCAGGGTAAGCTTGATTTGTGTCCTGATTCACCAGCAGGTGGAAAATCCAGCTCTCCCTGACCCATAGAGGAACTTGCTAAAAGCTTGAATTTATGGGGCGGGTGTGCAAACAGAAGATTAGTTTCTTGGGGGCTTTCTGTTGCCTGACGAGTCCTCTTTGCCGCAGGTAGCGTTGGGGGTTGAACAGTGTCCCCTCCACAGGGACTCTCCATGCCAAGCAGGGGCTGCCTGGCTGCCTCGCTCTTGACTTAGGAGACCTTCCCCTCCTGTTCCCGCCTCGGTTTGCTGCCCTTGTCCTCATTCTCAAGGATTGTTTGTAAGACTGTCTGGCAGTGGTTGGGATGGTTAGCTGTGTTAGTTGCTCGTCATAAGTGGGTTTACCCAATACAGCCAGCAATTTCACCAGAGCTGTCCTTGTATACGTAAAAGAGAAGAGCAGGACTCCAGTGTGTGCCCTTCGTTATCCAGGCTTTAAGGCAGAACTCTCAGTGTGTCATCTCCCTGGTTGATTTGGGTCTATGATTCAGGCAGAGTTTGGAGCCATGGGAAAAGCAATATAACCCCCACCCTGGTCATTGACACACAGTGTAGTGTTGTGAGAAGGTGATTCTTGGACAGGGCTTCAATTGAGTCTTTTTCTGTGCATGCCTAGGATAACCCAAAGCTGTATCTCAACTTGCTGGAAATAGAGTATAATGGAGATCTGAAGCAGAATGAAGAAAACATCATTGCCTCTTTTGACAAAGCTATCACTGGAACACTGCCGATAAAAATGAGGATCGTTTTTTCACAGCGAAAAGTGGAATTCCTTGAAGACTTTGGCCTGGATGTGAACAAGTGAGGTTTTTACCTGTATTTATCCCAGTGTGGAGGTTGTGGGCTTAGCATCTCGGTGTCCGTAGATAGCCGTCAGGTTACAAAGGTTGGGACGGTCGGAGTTGGCGCTTCCCAGGAGGCCTGCAGAAATTCTGACCCTAGAATTGGTTTTCACGTAGAGGACTCGCTGTGGCGATAGAGATCGCGATCAGCAGGAGGCAGGGCTGGTTTCCATTTCTGTCTAGGGCATTTCTGGGCCACTCCTATATTTTCCAGATTCTTACTGGGCGGCGGCGGCTGCTGCAAATGTCACATTTGGGGATCTGACAGTGCAGAGCCTTGCAGTAGAAGCAGCTTGCAAAGCGGAAGGCGGGGGCTGGCTTGGGGCTGGGCAGGCTGTGCCCAAAACTCAGTCTGTCCAGACGGGAATGTCTCACCTGTGGCCACCTTTCCCCCCCCTCCCGCTTCTATTTGACAGGCTTTTGGAGTCTTACGAAGAACATCAAGCCCTTCTGAAGGAGCAGGAGTCCCTCAAAAGGAAAGCAGAAAACGGGTATGGAGTCGTGGGCTGTGCTGAGAACACTCGGCTCTTTTCTGAAATGTTGATGCAACGGTGAAAGGCTAGTTTTGTCCTTGCTTGAAGCCATTTGCCTAGATCGACAAAACCCTACATTATGTGTCAGAGAACGGTCCTTGTCAGTATCATAGTTGATTGGGTAGAGCATGGCGGACTCGGATGGTTACAGCCCATGTGCCCCCTGATTTTCAGCACTGCTGGGTTTGACTCTGCTCCCCCCCCCCAATACAGAGTTCCACCGCAATCGGAACCAACACGGGCTGGAAATACTCGCTGTGGGAGGAGGAGCGCTGCCTATGGGGGAGGGGTAGCACAGTCCACATTCGCAGCCAAGAGCCTCGGTTCCAGCCCAAACAGGCATTTGGCCCTTCAGGGAGAACAGGGCTGATGTCCTGGTAAGCGGCAGTCAAAGCCCATTTTTGCTGAGCCTCCCCTATTAGACTTTGAATTCTTTTAACAGGTAGAAAGATTGTGGCTCCACTTTTTTAAAAAATGAAGACGCCAACTTGTCTTATTAGGACTGCTCCAGGTCTTTGTGCTCTTTTCAACTGAGATGTTAAGGATTAACTTTGCACATTACAGTCTGTACAGACAGCTAAGAGCAAAGTTTTTGGGCTCTGGAAAAAGTTGAGGCAACTCAACAGACTTTCCAGACTTGGCTGCACTGTTTGTATAGAGATTAGTGAAGGGGACAAATATAAAAACAGATAGGTTTTTTTTTACGAATATAGCCGATTCGTCATATATTTGTCAATCTGTGTTCATCAAATTTTAAGTCCCGATGAATACAGGTTGACGAATATTTCCCCGTTTTTATTTGTCCCCATATGAATTTTTTTAAAAGCCATCCTATGGCTTTTCCGTTCTGTCTTCCGGCCCCACCAATTAGCTGATTGGTATGCCGATAAGAAGCCACCCATTCCCACAGTTTGTATAGAGATTAGTGAAGGGGACAAATATAAAAACAGATAGGTTTTTTTTTACGAATATAGCCGATTCGTCATATATTTGTCAATCTGTGTTCATCAAATTTTAAGTCCCGATGAATACAGGTTGACGAATATTTCCCCGTTTTTATTTGTCCCCATATGAATCTTTGCAAAAGGCAGCCTGGATTCCCTTAGCCTGCCTTAAGCAGAATGGAAAAGCTATAGGATGGCTTTTTCTTTTTTTTTTAATATGGGGGTGTCGGCAAGGGTGGCAGGTAGAACATCTTTGGTTGATTGTTTGCCAGGTCTTTAGTTTCCAAACTTCTCAAGGCACCACAGTAAATAAGAAATGTCTAGTGCTTAAATTTGTTTACAAGTAGGAACAGATGAATAAAGCAGTGACGAATATTTTCCAAAAATAAATTTTCATACAGTGATCTGGAGGAAGACCTGGAAAAAGTACCATATTAAGTACCCAGTGAGCCTCCTTTGGTATTTTGTGCGTTCTGCATGTCAGATGCTTGAGCCCTCTTGTTGATCAACATCCACGTGGCCTTAGAATATGATTGATACCAAGCAGGTGGCCTCAAACTGGAAGCTGTGCCAGTTTGTTTCAGAGGCCACAGCCTGTGCAGTATCGAGGCCCCACTCCTCCTGCTCAGAGAGATGTGGGAGGAGAAGCCTTCTTAGACTCTGCTCCAAGGAAGGGACTTGTCCTGCCTTAGACTTCAGCTTGGTGCTTGCGATGGAAGAGCAAGATAAGGAAGCACTTAAGAGCTGTTGACAGGGAAGGACAGCAGGTTGCTAAGGTCCTTGTAAGCGCCTTAATGTGATACTAACCCAATAAAGTTGACTGTCATGGAAGGTTTTCTGCTTGCGGTGGAAGTGCTCTGTTAAATCTTCACAGCTCTCAACCATTAAGGGCTACTGGCCCAAGCAAAGAGATGCCCAGGTACTGTGGGGGGGGGGAGGTCTTCATCCTCAGTAGCAGGGCAGCTGGCCCACTTTGCCGTCAGCTGTTTCTCCAGTTGTTCATGTTTTGAAGGAAGGTCATGTGCGAGTCTGCTCTAAAATAACAGCTCGTTCACTTCATCCTCCAGCTGTGAAGAGCCAGATGAGAAACGAGCCCACGGGGATGAGGCAGCTCTCGCGGCCGGGCAGATGGCAGATGGCGACATGCAGGCCAACCAGGCGGCCTACAATTATAACGCCTGGTACCAGGTGAGCAGGGGGTACCTAAGATGGGCTCCAGCCAGAATAGGTCTACCCGAGTCACTCGCCATAGCCAGGAAAGACGGCTGAGGGGCCTTACCCCTTAGAGAGGCCTGGAAAGAAAGAACAAGAAACCGGGCCTTCTCGGCGGTGGCCCCTCAACTCTGGAACAGCTTGTCGCCAGAGATTTGCCTGGCACCCTCACTGGCTGTTTTCAAGAGCCAGTTCAGAACTTGGCTCTTCCCTCCTGCCATTACTTGACTTTTACTTTTCTTGGTTTTACTGTTTATTCCCATCTTGGTTATAGTACTATTGTAGAGTTTTTAACTCACAATATATTGTGAGCCGCCCTGAGTAGACTTCTGTCTAGAAGGACAGGATAAAAATCCAATAATAAATAAATAAATAAAATATGTGGAAAGGCCCCCGGGCGCTGATTCTCTGCCACTGATTCTTGTGGAATAAGCTTCTTAAATGCCAGTGCTGTGATCTGCCAGTGCTGGACGGACGGGATGCGGTAGTCAATTCCAGTGTGTATTACAAGTTTCTCGGACACCCTGGCTATTTTCCCAGGTGGAAAGTCTCAACTTCTGAGATTTATTTGCCTAAGTGGGGCTGTTGCTGACTTTTGTTGTGCTGGGCAATGTCGGGGAGGGGGTGTCTGTTTTTGCCCAAGTGGAGGAGGTACTCCTTTGCTAACCTTGTCCCCATTTCCTTTCCTATAGTACAACTATCCCAACGCGTGGAATTACGGGCAGTATTACCAGGCCTCTTCAACCTGAACAGAAGAACAGTGAACGGGAGCAAACGGCGTGTGAAAGTGTTTTGTTATTTTTTAAAAAAGATAGGGATGTGAAGAAACCGTCATGTGATAACTTTCTGTCTTTTCTGCATGTGCAATGAACTGACGTCCACGGGGTTCTTGTGACAAGCCTCATGTGTTAATTGGTATCTCACTGTCTACGTAGCTGACCAGGAATTCAACTCTTCCCACAGCTAAAAATGATCAAGAAGTGACATGGAGTCATATTGTTAGTTCATGTTGCATTGAGAATGTTCCATGCGAACCCATAACTTTGATTGAATACTTGCCAAAGTCTGCCCCTCTTGTGTTCCAAAAAGGTGGTGGCTGGAAGAGGATCAGCGCCCGCCCGCCCACGCCCGGAAGTAAATGCTCTCTTGAGTCTCCTCTTCCTGTCCGTCTACTGTGAGGTCCCTAAACACTTTTCAGAGCTCCACTCCACGCCTCTCCCCTTCCTTTTGGCCATGGTGGTGTCCACGAGCTGCGAGCTTCTTTTCAGAACTTGGAAGGCGAGGGGGGGGCAAACTCTGGGTAAAAGTGACAAATGAAGTGTGTTGCCAGAACCATGCTGTGTTTGGGGTGGATTTTGTATTGCAGTTTTCATGTATAAGTTTAGAAATTTTTTTTGTTCGTTTAAAAAGTCTTTTTTGTAATAAAACCACATTGTGTAAACTGTTCTGAATAGATTTATTGTTCAAGATTTTTGGTTTAATTTAGTTGGGACCTTTGCTGTCCTTTTCCCTATTTCTTCGCTGCATCCGTTTTGAAACTTGACACTACCCCCCAGAGGCTGTTGCAGGTCTCTGTACCTGAGAGTAATTTCAAACCCCTGCCCCACCCCATTCATTATTTCGACCTAGCTGAGTGTAGGCAGATGCAGGAGCACAAGTGGGGATTGTTCTTTGGTCCAAACTTCTTTTCACTTTGCTTGATAGCTCAGTGGCCCAGGTTGGGATTTTGATTCCCCACCAGGCCTCCTTGACAGGAGCTGCCCTCAATTATCCCTTGAGAGTCCTTTCCAGCTCCAACAAGACCAGCAGTTCTAAGACGGTTCATTTCTTGAAACTAATTGAAATAACTGCTTTTAAAACATCTGAAACCTGCCAAAGGAGTGATGTTGTCTCTCATCTTGCTGTAATTATATATATTTTTATTGAGAAAAGCCATACTCTCTTTGTGAATCTAAGAGTATGGCTTAACAAGAAGCTGACGGCATAGACCAAGATCGAGGTCTATAGAGCCTGTGTCCTGAGCACACTCCT